CCTTTGGACTTGGACTGAAATGTTGGCTCTTCACCTCGAGTCTGACAACCTTTGGATTAGAATTTACACCATCAGTTTTCTTGGTTCTCAGGCCTTTGGATTTACAATGGAACTACAGATAGGCTCTCCTGAATCTCCAGCTTACCAAGTGCAGATCTTTGGACTCCTTAGTCTCCATTAATCACATCAGCCAATTCCTTATAGTAAATCTCTTTCTAGATAGCTAGAAAGATAGATATAGATACAGATATAGATAGATATATTTTATTGATCCTGTTTCTCTGGATAACTTTGACCAATACATGTCCTCAAAGGATCATCTCCTATTTCTGGAACTAAATTCTGTCCCTACCAATTTGTGTTAATAGCTAAAAGATACTGGTCTCAAATCTCACGTGAGTACTCTGGGTGTGTTGTCTACAAAGCATTACTATTTATTTTCTTGCTTTCCATCTGGGATTTCTTTGATTTTCCATGTTTTATTTTAATTCTGATGGTATTTGCTTTGATAATGGAAAAGGAAACTCATATTTTGAAAACCCCTACTATGTGCCTGATAACATGCAAGTTACCTTTCTCTTATTTTATCTGCACGTATTATAGAAGATGATAATTAATCATTTGCATTTTTACAGCTAAGAAAACTGAAATCCAGAAAGATTAAATTATCTAGTGTTACACAGCCAAATTGTTCACAGACTTCAACATCTGGTATTAAGATGCAAGTTCTGATGTTTTTAAAAATTAACATTTATTAAAGGACAAAGAGTTATATTTAAATGTATATCTTGTAACAACAAGTAGGATAATAAGCAACACAGAACTGATGATAAAACAAACATTGGAACAGGATTGCATGAGTCAGAACCACAAATCCAGAAACAGACCCATTAAGACTCAGATATTGAAATGATCAGATTAAAAAAACAAAACCAGCTGTACTTGCCATTTTAATATAAAAGTAAGCTTGAAAATGTTTTTAGGAACTGAAAAATACAAACTAGTGGCATCATATACTTAAGTAAGAACCAAATAGAAATTTTAGAACTGAAAAGTCTTCTAAAATTAAGAAAATGGTTTGATCGCAGACTTGACACCGCTCAAGCAAACTTCCTGCGTCAGTTTTCCAAGTAGCTGGAAGTACAGGCATGTACCACCACACCCAGCGGTAATCCATTTTGAGTTCGTTTTTGCATATAGTGTGAGATGAAGGTCTAATTTTATTCTTCTGCATGTGAATATCCAGTGTCCCAATGCCATTTATTGAAGAGACAGTCCTTTCTGCATTGTGTGTTGTTGGCACCTTTGAAAGAAATTAACCATAAATATATGTATTTATTTCTGGGATTTCTGTTATTTTCCATTGGTCAATGTGTCTGTTTCTATGCCAGCATCAAGCTGTTTTGATTATTATAGCTTTGTAGTATATTTTGAAGTCAGGTAGTGTAATGTATCAAGTTTTATTCTTTTGTTCAAGACTGCTTTGTCTATTCAGGATCCATTAAAAAAATTTTTTTATCTATTTCAATAATTCTGAACATTTCAACACATGTCCAGAATCTAATTACTTATCAACAACTCAAAAATGCTAACACCATGACTTCTAGTGTGGATCTCTAGTCTTAACATATCTTCCTGCGTCCAAATATTAAATACTATGCTATATAGTTCTCACAAACATAGCTAAAGATGTCTTTATGGTTGACATTTTTGTTTTTATTATTTATTTTTTATAGTGTCTATGTTCTACTTTTTAAGTTTCTGGAAGTTGATTCAACACTATTTTGAAGTAGAGTCTGCCTCTACCTTAGCTATGCCAATCTTCTTCAGGCTCCGTTCCTGTGAACCCAATCATACCTATGCATATATTTTGCATACCTATTATGACATGCTAACCAGCAGAAGGGCAACATGGCATCAATCTGAAATTTGAATCCTTTTTTGCCAGTAACTGGCAATATAACTTTGAGATGAGTTTCTCCATAAAATAGGGGTGGTGGTAATAGAACCTATTTCATAGGATAATTGGGGTATTAAATGAGATTCAATAAGTAAAAATTTAGCAAGATGTCTTCACATAATAAATATTCAATAAAGGTTATCTATTATTATTATTATTATTATTATTATGTCACTCCCTGCTCAGTCTTCAATATTTCTCATTGCCTACAAAATTAAGTATACTTATATTCTAATAAAACTTCCTTTTACTCATCCAAACTTATCTCTAGTTTCTTTGTAACATAAAATAACAGCTTCAACTATGCTCTTCCTATCTTTATGCCCTAATTTCTTATCTTTTCTCTCAGCCTTCTTGCCTGAAAACTGAAGTCTTTCACAGCTGTCTTCTGTCCAAACCAGAGTCTAATTGCTCCCCTACCCCACTCTATTTTTTCAAAAATCATGCTTCCTTTATCTGTTATCAATTCTCAAGTTATATTGCATTTTAATTTGTTTACATGCCTGATGCCTCATTTAAGAGTATACTTCTGGCTGGGTGTGGTGGCTTATGCCTGTAATCCCAGAACTCTAAGAGGTTGAGGTGGGTGGATCACTAGAGCTCAGGAGTTCAAGACCAGTCTGGGCAACATGGCAAAACCCCATTTTTAATAAAAATCCAAAAAATTAGCCAGATGTGGTGATGTGCATCAGTAGTCCCAGCTACTCAGGAGACTGAGGTGGGCGGGTCACCTGAATCTGGGAAGTTGAGGCTGCAGTGAGCTGCGTTCATGCCGCTGTACTCCAGCCTGGGTGACAGTAAAGAGACCTGGTCTCAAAAAAGAAAAGAGAAAAGAAGAAGAAGAAAAAAAAACCCAACAGTATACTTCTCAAGGGCAGGGTCCTTTTAAAAAAATTCATAAAGGCCAGGTGCAGTGGCTCACGCCTGTAATCCCATCACTTTGGGAGGCCAAGGTGGGTGGATCGTGAGGTCAAGAGATCAAGACCATCCTGGCCAACATGGTGAAACCCCGTCTCTACTAAAAATACAAAAA